AACTAAACGCTGGGGTTTAAAGATAAGAATTAGAAAATCAGAGTTTGTGCCAACTACTCTATTTCTCTGAGAGATACTGAAGAGCTTGATTTCTTCGTTTAAATTATCCATGTAGTTTACGATTACCACGGGATATCAATAAGAAAACAGGTCTGTCATATGCAGATCAACGTTTGATCTCGAGATTCAAATCACAAAAGTTTTCTTTAATTTATTTTTGATTCGTGAAACTATCATTGAATAAAGACTTATTATTAGATTGAATCTCGACGAAATAAAGAAAACATGCAATGAAAGCCTAATCTGAATCCTTTTATATAAGAATATTATTTATTTAACCCTCTTACATCAGGACCACAGGATGTAAATATATATAACATAAAAACAGAATTAACAATCTTTAATTTTTGTTGGAGACGAATTCGAAGTAACTCTCCTAGTTTAAGACCAGTATCCGGATAAAAACTCTCCTAGTTAAGACCAGTATCCGGATAAAAACTCTCCGACTTAAGACCAGTATCTGGATAAAAACTCTCCTAGTTAAGACCAGTATCCGGATAAAAACTCTCCTAGTTTAAGACCAGTATCCGGATAAAAACTCTCCTAGTTTAAGACCAGTATCTGAATAAAAACTCTCCTAGTTAAGACCAGTATCCGGATAAAAACTCTCCTAGTTAAGACCAGTATCCAGATAAAAACTCTCCATATTTAAGATAAGGATTCGGAAATAAACTCTTCCAAATAAAAAACAGTATCCGGATAAAAACTCTCCTAGTATAAGAACAGTATATCCGGATATAAATTATTCTATATCTAGAACATAACAGTATCCTCATATAAAATTCCGTCTATCAAGACCAGTTCAGTATCCGGATATAAACTCTCGTCTAAGAACAGTATCCGGATATTAACTCTCGTCATCAAAAACAGTATCCGGATATTAACTCTCCTATATCAAGAACAGTATCTGGATATAACTCTTCTTTTTGTAAAAATTTCCATTTAAGGTTTTCAAGATATATTCCAAGATTAAAAAAAGACTTTAAACTAATTTTAAATACTCTGAATGATAAGGAATCTTGATAAATCTGGTTTGAATTCTGTGCCACTAGTAAATGACCTAGAGCAAGAAGAAGAGATAATTATCTCTATAATCAGTATTCCTTTCAACTTTCTCTAACTATCTCAATGTCTACACAATATTGATTCATGAGTCGACAAGTACTGGGGTTGTATAGAAAGAAATTACGGTAAATATATATAGTTCAATAACCTGGACAGTTTAACAGAATTTAAACACCATTTTCAAACCGTCTTTTTCTTTCTATTCGAAGCATTTTGTGTGTAAAGGTTCGGAGAGCTGAAACTTCAACTATTTATGTTTGATTTGAGTGTAAAGGTTCGGAGAGCTGAAACTTCAACTAATTTATGTTTGATTTGAGTGTAAAGGTTCGGAGAGCTGAAACTTCAACTATTCATGTTTGATTTGAGTGTAAGGGTTCGGAGAGCTGAAACTTCAACTATTTATGTTTGATTTGAGTGTAAAGGTTCCGAGACCTGAAACTTCAACTATTCATGTTTGATTTGAGTGTAAAGGTTCGGAGACCTGAAACTTCAAATATTCATGTTTGATTTGAGTGTAAAGGTTCGGAGACCTGAAACTTCAACTATTCATGTTTGATTTGAGTATAAAGGTTCGGAGACCTGAACCTTCAACTATTTATGTTTGATTTGTGTGTAAAGGTGCGGAGACCTGAAACTTCAACTAGTTATATGTTATAATATATAAAAAATGATATAGAGTGGCATATACGTTCAATTCACAACCATATCCCTAAACACTTTGTGTCATCAAAACTGAATGATTTGAACTTTGGAAATTGATTATTTTAATTGTGCTTCTGCTACTGTAACCATGGAAGAAATTGTCTGAAATAGACACTTTGCAAACTAGAAAAACAATGATATCTTCCATATTATTGAAAAGTTAAATGTTCAAGGTACCGTTGTGAATAGCACATTCCCATCTTTTTTAAAATGGAAGGTCATTTTAAAATCAGTCATTTGACCAGTGATTACTGATTACATAATTATGAAATCAATCAATGTCATATCTACAGTGTTTACAGTACAGGGTTTATATACAGTGTCACAACATGTTGTAATGCACATTCTTTGATTTTGAAATCATGTTGGAAAATGCATTTTGTTGTTGCAATGATATGGCAAATGACGGATATTTCCGCCATTTTATCCCATCTCGGATATTTCCTAAACGCGCGCGTGCAGTACACCCATTTTTTCTTAGTTAAACTTAAAGAGATTGTTCGCATATTTGATAAAACAGATAATACCCGAATTTTGATATATAACGAACAAAAAAATATTCTGTTACAAAAAAACGTCGTTTTTTGGCATAAAATTTATTTTTTCTTGTAAATCTCGCGGATGAAGGAAGTGCAAGTTATGCATTTTAATTTTATTGTTTATTTTATTATCTTGTTCTGCTTCCTTTACTTTTCTTTGGTTTGCACTGTTCTTCCTTATTACGTTTACGCAAATTCCTGGAATGCTTTACACTTCAGAACACATTTGAATTTATGCATATTTCATTAAAACTAAACGTGGGAATTTTGTTAGATAAATCAGGGACTTAGATTTTGATTGTTTTCGTGAAACTGTGGTTTAACGCAATGTCAAGGGTAAACTAAAAAGAAACTTGAATGCATTTTCCTATCTCCCCCCCTTTTCTAGGGGGGGACGCCCCCCCAGGCTATGAATAGATTCAAACCCCCAGCCTTTATAGGGTTAATGTATTAGCTAAAACAAATGTCGTCAGTTTGGCTAGTCAAAACTAAATGATCGCCAAGGCTACTTGGACTGAAATTTGCGATATTTTTTTCCCGCAAATATCTGAACAAAGACAGTAAAAAAAGAATAGCAGAGTCCTTTCTTCAATTTTCGGTTTTAATGTACTTTTCATAAAATATCGGATAAAGGAATTGAGTCTTTGGAACAAAATCAAATATTTAAACCTCAATATCTTTAGAACCCGATGTTGTAAACTTTTGCATGATATTTCAAACTCAGATAATTTGATTTAACAGAATTCACAGTTTGAAATATCTAAGGTCTGCAACATTTGGTTCCAAAGATATAGTGATTAGAAAATTAGAAATTGTGGCAAATACTCAATTCTTTTTCACATTTTCCAACAAAATCCTGAGAGCAGCTACCTCCCCTCAATGAACTGCTCAATGATTTGGTACCGAAAAAAAGTATTCATCTGCTGAGAACCAAAACTGTGTTTTAAAAGTCTGCTTTTCTTAAGTCTCATTCAAAACAGGTTATTATTATTATTATAAAGATTTATTCACAAACAAAGATATAAATACATATATAAATGGTGTAGTTTAAATTTGTTTAAATACATTTTTTGAAAATACAGGTTTCCAAAAAGAAAAGAGAAAAATATGCAAAATTATTGGTAGGCTTAAAAATTGTTTTCGCTGAAACCTGCAAACTCTAAAACCAAATCAAAAGCATTAAAAAAGTGATAATCTTGAAGTATATGACAGTAGATGCAGTAGACCGTAACGGTTTTAAAAGTGTTGGCAGTGTGTAAAGTTTACAGTACATATACTATACAATACAATATACAGGAAGCAGATGCTTGCTTAGAAACTGTATCCAAGCGAGGGGAGTAGGTATGGGAAACATTCATGGAAAGATAATTTCAAAACGGGAAATTTTTTTTGTTAGCTGTCAAAGACTCTAAAACTTGCGTGAATAAAAGTAATTGTTCTTGACCTTTTTGCATGTTCCAATTTTAAAGAAAGAAATTGAGTCTTTGCCACAAATTCAGTTTTTGTAAAACCTATATCTTTGTAACCTTATGATCTAAACCTTTGATATTTCAAACTTACATTATTTGATTCAATAGCATTCATAGTTTGAAATATGAAAGGTCTACGACATTGGGTTGCAACAACATTGAAATTAGAAAATCAGAGTTTGTGGCAAAAACTCAATTCCTTTACACTGCAGTAGTATACAGAATGTATTCATGCTGTATAGTTCAAAACAGCTTGTGTACACAGTTGTGCACAAACTGCAGTTTTTTTCTGGAGAAAATTTATATTTTATTTTTATTTTCGTTTAAGATTTTCTTTTCACAAATCGAAAAAAAAGACTAAACATGCCTAGCTCTATCATTTAATGAAAGATTAGAAGTTACGCAATAAATCAAACCACACTTTCACACCACAAAACAATTCATTCATTCATCCATTACTTTGTAAAAATGTCATATGTTTTAGAATGTTCAATTGTTACAATAAATTATAGACCTAATTTATCTATAGACCACCAATAAACGTTGGAAATTAAAGAATTACCTTAGAATCGTCTTTTATCTACGCAGCATTATTATGCTTTAAAGAAAATTCAATGATAATGTTTTTAAAATTATAGGAATTCCAAAAATTCTAGTCTGCCTTCTGAAGGAATTGAGTCTTTGTCATAAACTCTGAATTTCTAATCCCAATATCTTTTCCAACCAATATCGATCGTAGACCATATTTTAAATCATGAATTCTGATAGATCAAATTATCTAAGTTTAAAATATCAAAGGTTTACGCCATCAGATAACACAGATATTGGGATTAGAACATTTGAGTTTGTGACAACGTCTCAATTCCTTTGGAAAAATTTCGTCTGAAAATACTGACGTATAAGATACAGAAAAGCTAAACTTAAAAAAACTCAGATACTCAAATTAAGGTTGAATATCCTCACTTGACCCCCAATTGATTTTTAAGACTTTCTGGAATTTTAGGAACAGTGTTTTTTTTAAAAAGAACTGTCGTTGTAATTTTAAGTGACCCTCCATTTGAAGAAAGGCATGTCTAATTCACAACTCTACACTCGAACCCTTTATCTTATCAATGATATCAAAGATATAGTCATTTTTCTAACTTGGTGAGTGTTTATTTAAAGTAGAAATGCACAATCAAGTTACTTTAGTAGAGGAACCATAATGAAAAATAATCAATTTTATGAGAGAGAAACCTGGATAAATTATTAATTCTTGATTCAATGGTACATGCCAATCTATTATATGGAGCTAGAGGCACTTCAAATTATGATTACAGTCTCTGAAAAAATATTATTTTTCAATAAATCAAGAACATTTTTCATTCAAATATTTTTGTTCAGATTCAGCGAGATAGTTGCTCTTGTCTCCTTGTCCACCACCTTCTTCCTCTTCATACACACCAGGGACCTCAACATCAGACTGGCGGAGAATGCGCAGTTCGAAGCATCCGTCTCCGGTTCAGCATCCGCCATAGGACAGGGAGAGAGCAGTTTAAACAAGGATCGTCGGATAGAGGCGGAAAGATTGGCGGATTTAGAGCTGTATGGGAAGGTGGGACATTAATTAATAAATATTTCGTAGATTTTGTCATGGAGAAAGTTTTCTAAAAAAAGGAAAATCTGAACCGTTTCTATTTTGTTCGTAATGATCGTAAGATTAACAATTTGAAATTGTCCAGTCATTCTCTGAACAATTTCGTTTCTATGGTTTTATATAAACCCGAACCAATATATAGATGTACTTTACACCATGTTTAACCTGTATAAAATGGGGCCTGATCATAAACTTAAGAATGGACTCTAGTTTTAGGCTGATATTTCAAATCTAAAATCTCAATAATATTAAAGGACGGCTTTAGACGTAATTAGAAATGTTTAAAGAGGGATGTTTTCCAGATTTACAACGGTACTCTTGAAACATTCATATGATCAATAATATTGAAGACATCGTCACATGGAAATCTTTTTCTGAGAATTGAGCCTTTTCCTCAAAATCAGATTTTCTAATCGTTAAATCTGTGTAACCCGATGCCTATACAACCACCAGGTTGCAAAGATAAGAGATCGGAAAATTTAATTTTATGGCAAAGATTCAATTCCATACTCCAATGTTTATGACTAAAAACTTTGCAATTCAATTTATTGAAACCCAAAAATAAAAAAAACTATCTTGCTAAAAAAACTAGAACATATGGATATCTTATTCATCATATTTGTCTAAACAACCTTTTTTTGTTTTATTTAATTGTATTAAGAAATATTGATTAAAAACTATATTTATACAATGTGAGTCATATGCATTAAAACTGTCTCGTAATAGTTTAGTAATTATCGTTAGAAACGGAGTGGGAGAATGAGGCTAAGAGGTTCGCCCTAATCAAAATTACAAGATTGCATTTTAATCTAATTAATGTTTAATTTAGCTTGATCCTATGGAGCTGAATAATACAAGGAAGGCTGTGAAAGAAACATTATTTTTCAACCGCGTTCCCAAGGTAATTTTTTATTTCATTCGGCCATTTTTAATTTAGTCGTCTTAATTTTGAGCTTAAGAGTTTGAGAATTGGATAAAAATTTTATTTAGACATTTTTTCAAGGAAAAAGATATCTTCTTTGATTTTTTTCCTTCCACAGAATAATATTAAAAATTGTTTTCACTAAAATGTGGCTAATTCTCAAGGTTGCATAATTATAATTATTTAACCTTACTAATTCTGCACCCCTTGATAATCATGACATCAATGTCATTTCAAGATTCTCATTTTAAAAGTTTTCCTTTTCAGGTTGGTAGTCAGACCACAATGGAATTATTAAAATCTTTGGCAATAAAGAATAATTTTCATTATCATAAAGACAGAACGCAGAAGGTGGAAACCATTAAACTCTCCAACAGTGAGCAGGTAAGAAATCGTCAAACCAAACCAAATAATTTTAATGGCGACCAAACTAAAAAACCCGCGAAAAACAGGAATTGACCAAACTTTTTGATTTTCCTCGAACTTCAAATTTAAAAAATAATAATTTTGTTCAATCACAAAAATGGTTCGTGAGCCGGCCAAATTGAAAACCACACAAGTTCACAACTTTTGGCATAATTAATATTCATTCAATTTGCTGGATTTCCATGTTTTTCAGAAATGGTTGGCCAACCTAATGGATTTCTTTAGTCCTCCATCAGTATACGTAAAACATGTTTGTTTTGTCAACTTTACTAAGTAAGTCTAGTTGGAACCTGGAGTCTGGAATATCATGATGAGGATAAATACCAGATTACATTTCGTATGTGTCCGCCATTTTGATATTTTCCTGATTTCATTTTCCAAACTTGAATTAGTCTTCACACTCTGTTATTTCCAGCAGGAATGAGAATGCTTATGTATTTTTAGATTATACAATCACTGATAATCTATTTTTTTAACTTTATTGCATCCTATCCCTATCTCGAGTAATACTTTATACAATCCTGGTCTATCCTATCCTATACCTCGAGTAATACTTTATACAATCCTGGCCTATCCTATCCTATACCTCGAGTAATACTGTATACAATCCTGGCCTATCCTATCCTATACCTTGAGTAATACTTTATACAATCCTGGCCTATCCTATCCTATACCTTGAACATGGTTACGTATGCTTTCATACTGTATCCTCTCCCCGGAGTAAGCAAGTACAAAATCTATATCTACTTACCTAGACCCCAGGAGTAAACATGTACACAATCATTTCCTATTCTTTCCTATACCCTGAGTAAACATGTTCACAATTATTTCCTACTCTGACCTATACCTTGAGTCAACCTGTTCACTCATCCTAGCCCATTCTGTCCATTACACTGTGTAAACATAAATACAATTATTGCCTACTCATTCCTATACCTTGAGTAAACATGTATACAATCTTGCCTTCTCTATCCTATACCTTGAGTAAATCCGTATACAATCTTGCCTTCTCTATCCTATACCTTGAGTAAACCTAAATATTAAATCTTGTACCTACCTGTCGTGTAACGTAAACTCAGCTGGTAGGATTGGCAACCTTTCAAGCTAATGAAAACCTCTCCCCTTAACACCCAGCTGGGGGTTTTAAACTTCTAATCTATGTTTTAGAAACACTTGAGTAAGCTAGTCAATTCCTTCAGTCCACCGTCAGTGTATGTCAAGCATGTTTGTTTCACTAATTTCACAAAGTAAGTATCATTACGCCCGACCACGATCATTTTTCTGCAATGCATGCTTTAAGTTTACAGGTTTAGGGTTATTAATGTTTCTACGTTTTATTGCAGTAAGAATTGCAAAGTTTCTTTATGTAGTTTAAGATAAAATACACATTTTATTCGTATATATTAATTTTACCTGAATCATTTCGAACTTGCAAAAACTATGTTCGAAATAGCAAGAAAAAAAAAGGATTTGAGAATTTGTGAAATTTCCATAACATTCTGTTTAAAATTGTGAAAAAAAGCCTAATGCGTTCGGTAGTTTTGTAAGAATTTGTGAGATTTCCTGAACATCCTTTTAGAAATTGTGAAAAAAAGAGAACTGTGTTACATATTTTGAACAAAATGTTATGGTGATGTGGATATGTTAAGCCTATGCACATTTTAAAAAGAGAGGAAGAATTAAATTATTTAATAAATAAATAGGTTTTGGGGTAACCCTTGTTTGGTCTTGGTTAAATGGTTTCCCCCCAGGCCGTGAAAATATCTAAAATTATAGTATTTGAAAACAGATTATTTTGAGCTCCTGGATTCAATTTTGAGATGAGAAAATAATTCTTTATTAGAAATATGATGAACAATCTAATTTTTTAAAGGGACTGTACAGTGTAGAGTGTAGACGTAATTTCAAGTAAACCTCCATTTATAAAGTGGCATGTCAGATTTATTTATATTATTATCTGAGTAACAATGAGGACGATATCGTAATTTTTTAATCTTAAAAAGTGTTGAATTCGGACAATTTCTGCAATCGGCTGAGTATGCATCCACTTATCACTTTTACAATCGAAAATAATCCATATTGGTCACTTTTAATCTCACTAATATTCCACTGTAGCCCAGCTATTTTTAGTCAGGTATAAACTGGTGAATTTATTCGATGTGTTGGGTGTTAAACATTGAAGACAGGAAACATAAAGATTAGGGTTAGGAAAGTGCAGAAGAGAGAGTTTAGAAAGAGAAATAGAGTTAGAGAGAGAGTATATATGGGTGAGTGGGGCCCGGGG